TGTCTGGATCATCAAGTGGGTGGCGGAGGCCATCGAGTACACGGGGGTGAAGCACTTCATCTTCAAGAGCGACCAGGAGGCCTCGATCATGGACCTGAAGAATAAGGTCATCGAGGCGCTGGGCGAGAACTTCAAGATCGTGAAGGAGGAGAGCCCGGTGGAGGAACACCAGGCCAACGGCGCGATCGAGCGGGCGGTGCAGTCCGTGAGCGGTATCGTGCGGACCCTGAAGCTGGCGGTGGAGCGCCAGTGCGACATCAAGATCGGGCACGACCACGTGATCGTGCCGTGGCTCATCAACTACGCAGGTGTGGTGATCAGCCTGTTCGACGTCGGCGCGGATGGGCGCACGGCGTATGAGAGGATCCGCGGAAAGAAGTACCGCAAGGAGCTCCCACCGTTCGCCGAGACGGTGCACTACCTGCCGGCGGACAGGAATAGGGGCCACAAGAATAAGCTGGACGCCAAGTGGTTGACGGGTATCTACCTGGGCGTGCAGCTGAAGAGCCAGGAGCTGTATATCGGCTTGGAGCTGGGCGTGGTCAGGGCCAGGGCTGTCAAGCGGAAGGCCGGGGACGACCGCTACAACGGCGAGCTGCTGAAGAAGCTGCAGGGCACACCATGGCGGCCAGTGCCAGGTGCTGTCAAGGACGGGGAGGATGCGCCGGCGGCGCGATTCCCGATCGCGAAGGCGTCCGACGAGGCGCCTCTGCCAGTCGTGCCGCGGGCATTGCGGCCGGGGACCGGTGCAGGAGGTGTTCCTGGACCGAGGCGGGTCTACATCCGCAACGAGGTAGAGATCAAGAAGTTCGGGAGGACCGAGGGGTGCGTCGGCTGCGAGAGCTACGCCCTGGGACTCCCGGCCCGCAGCCACAGCGAGGCCTGTAGGGCAAGGATCACGAAGCTCATGGAGGAGGACTTCGAGATGAGTAAGCGAGTAAGGATAGCCGAGGAGCGGCAAGGAGTCAAACGGCCGGCTGAGAAGCAGGCGGTCGACACGGAGGAGGCGGTCGGAGGAGGCAGCAGTGGCGCACCCGCTTCGGCTGCTAAATCGACCGCAGCAGGAGCAGCAGCTGGGCAAGCACAACCTGCTCGAGCTGATCGAGATATATCGGCGTCGAGCGCAATGATCCACGCCGCGCTCGGAGGTGGTATCTACAACAGGAGCTCGGGATCTGACGCGAAGATGCGGGTCGAGACCCGAGCGGCGCCAGAGCCGCAAGAGGCGATGGACGAGAGTTCGCGGACGAACCTGAAGCGGCAGGCCGAGAGCCAGGACCCGCCGGGCGTCAAGGAGACCATGGACGCCAACCTGCTGGAGGAGGTCAAGGGCCTCGTGAGGGACCTGGGATTCTTCGGCGTGCACGTGACGGAGCTGTTCGGGCCGGGCAAGTTCACCGGCAGGGCGGAGTCGTTCGGCCTCAACCCGGGGCACGCGTTCGACCTACGCCTGACAGACGAGAAAGGGGCGCAGTGGGACCTGTCGGACCCAGACCGGCAGGCGCTGTGCGAGGAGATCATCGACTACGAGAAGCCGTACGTCCTGATCGGGTCGCCAACGTGCAGGGCGTTCAGCGCCATCATGAACCTGAACAAGGATCGCGACCCAGAGGAGTACGAGCGGAAGGTCATCGAGGGTATCAGGCACCTTCGATTCTGCGTGAAGCAGTACAAGAAGCAGGTGCGGGAGGGACGCTACTTCCTGCACGAGCATCCAGACCAAGCGTGGAGCTGGAAGCTGGACTTCATGGCCGAGCTGATGGAGATGGAGGGTGTCTCACGCGTGACGGGGCACCAGTGCTGCTGGGGCCAGCAGACGGTCGACTACGACGGCGAGATGGGGCTGGTCCTCAAGCCCACCGGCTGGTTGAGCAACTCGCCGTGCATCCTGGAGGAGGTATCCCGCAGGTGCGAGAATGAGAGCCTGCCCAAGAGCGAGTGGCATGTTCATGTCCCGCTGGTCGGCAGCGCGAGGACACGGCCTGCGCAGAACTACCCGCCGGCCCTAGTAGCAGCTATCCTCAGGGGCCTGACGGCTCAGCTGAGGATCAACGGCGACCTGAGCGCGTTCACCGTGGGCGTCACCTGCGAGGAGGACGCCGTGGACTGGGACATGGAGGAGTACGAGGAGTTCCGCGATAACATCTCGGGCCAGCTGCTGGACGCGAAGATGGTGCGGGCCGGCCGGGAGGAGGAGCTCAAGTACATGGACGACATGAAGGTGCTCCAGGAGGTCCCAGAGTCCCTCTGCTGGGAGGAGACCAAGGCGAAGCCTATCCCGGTCAAGTGGGTAGACATCAACAAGGGCGACGAGGCTCGCCCGGAGATACGGTGCAGGCTGGTCGCGAAGGAGCTGAAGAGCGCGCAGCAGAAGGCAGGGATTTTCAGAGACGACGTGTTCTCGGCGACACCGCCACAGGAAGGGGTCAAGATGCTGTTCAGCAGAATGATGAGTCGGAAGCGGGGCGACTGCAGGAAGCGCAAGCTAATGTTTATTGACATCAGCCGGGCACACTTCCACAGTCCTGCACGCCGACGAGTGTTCGTACAGCTTCCTGCTGAGCGACGCCGAGAAGGATATTGCGCGCTGCTGCTCAAGAGCATGTACGGCACGCGAGACGCAGCGGCCAACTTTGCCGACAAGGTGATGGAGGTGCTGCGCGAGATGGGTTTCAAGATTGGGGTGTTCAGCCCGTGCCTGTGCCGGCACGACGAGATGGACATCCTGCTGTTCTACCACGGGGGCGACTTCGTGAGCGAGGGCGACGATGACGCCCTGGAGTGGTTCAGGACCGAGCTGTCTAAGCGGCTGCTGGTGAAGGTTCGAGGAGTTCTTGGCTGGGGCGACGGCGACTTGCGGGAGATCACGCTGCTCAACAGGATTGTCAGGCTGAACAAGACCGAGGCCGGCATCCCTTGTTTGGAATGGGAAGCAGACGCCCGCCACGTCGAGATCGTCACGACCCAGCTGAAGCTCAACCTGGATAAGGGCAGCAAGGCGGTGACATCGCCAGGGATCAAGAGAACGGCGGAGGAGCTGACCGAATCTCCTCCACTCTGTGCTGCGGACGCGGCGCTGTTCAGGAGTGTGTGTATGCGTATCAACTACCTCGCGATGGACAGGATCGACCTGCTCTTCGCGGCGAAGGAAGCGGCCAGGTGGATGAGCAAGCCGACCCAGGTAGCCATGGAGATGGTGAAGCGCATCGGGCGGTACTTGCTACGCCGGCCGAGGATGGTGCAGCGGTTCGTTCAGCAAGACGAGCCAGAAGTGATCAAGGTAGCCTGCGATTCGGACCATGCGGGCTGTGTGATAACACGGAGGAGCACATCGGGCATTGCCCTGTACCACGGTGCTCATCTGCTCAAGGCGACCGCCAACACTCAGACGGTGATTGCCTTGTCGAGCGGCGAGTCGGAGTTCTACGCGATCGTCCGAGGAACGAGCGTCGGCCTGGGCGCTCAGAGTATGTGCAGCGACTACGGCATGAAGAAGGGCCTGGTCGTCGAGACGGATGCGACAGCCGGGCGCGGCATGGCGCTCAGGCTTGGTGCTGGCAAGGTGCGGCACCTACACGCCCAGTACCTGTGGGTGCAGGCCATCTACCACGAGAGGTTGGCGAGGCTCATCAAGGTGCCGGGTGAGCTCAACACAGCTGACATGATGACGAAGCATCTCAGCGGCGATGCGATCGATTTCTTCATGGACCGGTGCGGGTTCGTGATCATGCAGGGCAGGAGTGAGCTGTCTTTGAGGGCGGCTATGTAATCACGACTTGGGCCGGTGGCCGGCCGAGAGAGTATTATAACTGTGTGTATAGGCGCGAAGACGCCTGATTTCAGCTTGGTGCACTGGTGTATCGGCGGCGCCGCAAGGAGCGACTGGCCGAGGAGGAGTGTATCAGTGCATAGTACATATCCCTTGGAGAGGAACTGTGAGTGATTGTGATGCGGGGGTTCGCTCCGCAGTCGTGTTGGTTCAAAACCATCTAATCAGGACGTGGACGACGAGATGAGGAGACGAGGAGACGGGGAGAGATTGGAGAAGGACTAGGCGAGGAGGAGGAGGAGGAAGAGAGGAGAGAGGAGACAAGGCGATGGAGAAGAGGGTCGGAGAAGGACGGTAAGGGAGAGGGGGGAAGGTGACATTATCTGAGGCTACCTCCTCACCCTCATAACAACATCTAGGATAAGGATGAGGAGGCGGTGGAGGAGAAAGGAAGGATGGAAGCGAAGGGGGTTGACAGGCTAGATGCGTTCGTGCCATATCAGACAGTCTGACATCCCATCCCTTCCTCCCATCTCTTCAAATGGCGCTGATTTTTCTGTATCCGCGGGCGCGCGTCATAGCCGACACGGACCTCAACAACAACGGCATCATCGTGCTATGCGCAATCGGAAAAGGGCAGTTGCGTACATAGGAAGAAACAGAGGAGGAGGAGGAGGAGGAGGAGGAGGAGGAGGAGGAGGAGGAGGAGGAGGAGGAGGAGGGAGGAGGAGGAGGAGAAGAGGGAGGAGGAGGAGCACGACGAAGAGGAGGAGGTGGCGGGTGGGCAGGAGTATGACAATGAGGCAAAAGATTGCGATGAGGAAGGAGGAGGACGAGGACGAACATCAGCAGCAGGAACTGGGGGTGGAATGAGGAGGAGGAGGAGGAGGAGGAGGAGGAGGAGGAGGAGGAGGAGGAGGAGGAGGAGGAGGAGGAGGAGGAGGAGGAGGAGGAGGCAGCGGGAGCACCATGTTGAAACACCGGAATCACTCGGACTGTAAAAAACGCAACACATGAAACAGCAACCTGTAGCGTCCTCTGGCGCAGAGAGGAGGAGAAGGGCGCGGAGATGGCCGCACGCCTCCGTCTATTCATGTAGCGCGTGCGACTGCGGAGGTCGAGGAGGGGCTCGCAGAGGAGGTCGAGGATTGGGGGAGGAGCTGGAGCGCCCCCGCTCGGCCAGGGGAGGGGGCCGACGCCTCCGCCTCCGCCGCTGGCGCCCCGGCGCCAGGTGGAGAACCTGCAAGGCCGCCCCCGCGGCCGCGCGCCGCCGCGCCTCCGCGGCCCTCCCCCCGTGGGCAGGGCCGGCGGTCGCGGGCCGAGGCGCCTCCAGCCAGGAGCGACAAAAGGACGTACACTTAAATCGGGCCTGTCCCCCTACAGGGGGATTTTCGACGGAAAAAAAAAATACCCCCAAAATAATCAAAAAATATACCAAAAATGGTCTGGGGACTATCTTTGAGTATTCGTTGACCTTTTTGGTGCATTTTTGGCGTATTTCTTTCGTCGAAAATCCCTCTGTTAGGGGACACGCCCGACATACACGTACACGTACATGAATCCGCGTTGGGTTCGAGAGTGTGCATGGCACGAATGTTCGTATCACGCGGACGGTCTTGCGGATCGAGGGGCCGCGTTCCTGTACATGGTTGGGCGCGTACGTCCTTTGTGGGCGCCTCCGGGGCTCGTTTCGCTTCCTCCGATTCGCTTCGATTCGATGTCGATGGCCTCCGCGATTCCGATTGGATTCGACCTCGGGCTCCGCTTCGATCTCCTTCACGGAGGCCCGCTTGCTGGCCTGCAGACTTCTGCCGATTCGACTCCTCCCGACTTGGCTGCCGATCTCCGCCGATCCGATTAATGTCGGTCGCCGCTCCGACTCGTCGATTCGATGCTGGGCGTCTCCTGGCCTCGGGGCCGCGGAGGCGCTCGCGGGTGGCCTGCGAGTGGCCTTCCCCAGAGGGGCCGTCGGAGTCCCCCGGCAGGGCTCGAGAGGCATCCTCGCCCGGGTCGCGCCCGTGGGGGAGGTGTCCGCGTGCGACACTGTACACCCGAGGTTCGAGGATCCAGGCCTCTGCTCCCGTGTCTGCTCCTCTGCTTCTGACGCTGGAGCCGCTTCGAGATTCTGGCCGGGGCGCTCCCCCGAGGGGGCCCCGGACTGCTGGCGCGACGACATCATCGAGACGGCCGAACACGAAGCAATTTGATTTAAACCAGTGAGCAGCACCAGTCACGTAAGCGCAGAGCAGAACAACGGAGTGCAATGCCAAGCGGCACAACGCAGCGCAAGTCAAATGAAGGTAGTGCAATGCAGAACACATTGGAGCAACGCACATCTCATTAAGCTCAGCGATGCATTGTAGTTCAAAACGCATGGAAGCGAATCTGGCCAAAGCAAAATGAAGCCATCGTACCAGAACAATGCAAAGCAACACATCACGAAACACTGACATCATCACACTATCAAGCAAGCACGCGCAAAACCAAGCAATAACAATTTAAGGCAGCACGATGCAGTGCAACACAGTTCAAAGCAAGCCAACCAAGCAATGCAAGGCGGTGTTATGCAACACAGGCTGATGCAAACATAAGCAAGCCAGAGTGATGCAACGCAACACAACATAAGGCAACATCTCACTCACATCAGTGCAAACCAAACCACCATTGCACATGATTTCAACGTACACCAAGCCATGTCAAGGCAATGCAAATCCATGACCATCGGAGCAACGTACAGCAATCCATCTCAGCTACATCAGGCGGTCGTTCAGAACAAGACCGTGCAAGTTAATGCAGGGCACCGTAGGGTACTTCGGAACACTGCCTAGCAAAGCAGCGCACTGGAACGCACATCAAATGACAGCCCAAACATATATCGCAATGCTCAGGTGGTAGCTTGCAGCAGCTCGTTCTTTCTGTGGCATGAAGGCCATGGCAGGCGCACGTTCTTCTCTTGGGCCCAGAAGATCACGTGACTGCCGAGCTACTCCTTATTTTGATGACACACTGTTCGCAAACCCGAGTCTCGCTGGTTTCATTCTGCGAGTAGGATGCCATCGCTGCAGACACCTTCCCCTGCTTCTGTTCGCCCCTCGGTCTCCATGGGAGGAGGGGAAGGAGTTGGTGGTTGCAACGAGGGTATCCTACAAGTGCGAGCGTCTGCTTGTTTCACTGCCAGTTGCGGTTGCCGTCATTGTCTTTTCTTGCACGCGTGCCCGACGCCCTACGTCTGCATTCGCCGATCTCATTTGCACCCACATCGCAACATTCAGACATTCGCTTATCTTTACATTATGCCACGCATGCCACCCTTAGTGTGCGATGTGATTGACCTCGTTGCCTATGCTGGTTCCCCCCTGGGTATCTATCTTCACTGATGCGAGGTATGCAAAGCCTTGAGAGATTATGGCTGAAGTCGAATCCAGTCTCGCGGTTCTTTGCTCTCATTTGTTTCGCGCACGTTTTCGAGACAGATGTATTTGTTTCGACGGTATCGTACAGAGTGTATCGTTCATGCAAGCATCCAGTAGACCATGATTGTAGAGATGTTGGCGACATGTTTGGCATTCACCGATTAGGGCCTGACTCACCATCCGTTCCGAGGAGAAGGGTGAAGGAACGAGGAGGGAGGAGGAGGAGAAGGACGGTGGAGGACGAGGTATCGGGAGAGGACGGCACAGGGAAATGAGGATGAGGAGGAGGAGGAGGAGGAGGAGCAGCAGGAGGAGGAGGAGGAGGAGGAGGAGGAGGAGGAGGAGAGGTTCGTCACAAGTTGAGCCTGCTTTGTGCAGAGCGCCTCTCGGATGTCCATCTGGACATTCTATCGGACAGTCCATTTCAGGTACTTACCTCGGACTCCATCTTCGTCTCCCTCGATGCATTTCTTCCTCTGTGCTCCCCTCCCCTTCCCTCCCTCCCCCTCTTCCCTCCATCCTCCTTCTTTCACTTCCTCCTCCCTCCCTTCTCCCTCTCCTCCCTCTCTCTTCCCTCCTCCCCGCTCTCTGTTGCCCCTTCATCCCTCGTCCCTCCTCTCACCGTGCCCACCTCCCATCTCTCCTTCTCCCTCCGCCTCATCTCATGGAACGCTGCTCCCACGTCAGCTGCCGCCTCTGCCATCATCACAGGCGCCCGTTCCGGCATCCTCGCACCACTCGTCAAACTATGGCGGCTGGTGCCAGGCGCATGGCGGAGCTCGCTTCATCACCCCGTGAACGGCGCACCTGCGAAACCGAGAGGCCACCGGGTCCAGCCGAGCAGCAGGTCGGAAGTTTGTTCCGACGCGGGCGCGCCGCAGCCTGGAGGAGGGCGGGCCGACGGGGCAAGGCGGAAGAACGCTGCGGGCGACTGCAGCGAGTTCCATCACTCGACGTCTGGCCCTGCGCGCCCTGGTGGGCGGGCATGCAGGCACTGGCTGTTTCTAGAGGGCAGCGTTCACACCGATGACGATCGCCGCGCGCCTTGGCGGCTCATTTGGCTCAGCGCCTTCGGGCGCAACGAGATGGATGCGCTGTCTTGGCAGCTCCTCGCGAAGCGTGCCGGGTGCCAACGGTGAGCGTAGCCAATCAGGAATTGGCGCCGTCGACGCGTTGATACCATAAGAACACGACGCAGATCTTGCAGATCTGGGCCAGGAACGTCGTTGCGCTGTCCGCGATCTCCGCGCACGATGCTTGTAAGTGGCAGCCACCTTCGATGGTTCTCATCGAACGAGCAAGTCGGGGTCGATACATTTTTTGTTGGGGAGGGTAGGTGTTCGTGTCCAATGCGTCACGCTCTTCGATCGTAAGTGGATGCGAATGCGGACAACCAGGCGAACGGGGAGCTGGAGGAAGGGGCAGGAAAAGGCGAAACACTCGCGAAGAGGAGAGGTGGCGTTTGAGCAGTGATGAATCGAATGCTGTGTATTCGCAAGAGGACAGGGCGGAGGGATGATGTGACAATGGAGGAATGGGGGCCGGGGAGGAGGAATGGAAGGAAGAGAGGGGGCGGAGGGTGGTGGAGGATGGGACCAGACGGATGAGGGTGAGGAGGAGGCGGAGAGGAGAGGGGGCGGAGGGTGGTGGAGGATGGTACCAGACGGATGAGGGTGAGGAGGAGACGAGGCGGAGGAGGACATTCGTTATGGGAGGAGGAAGCGGGGAAGAAGGTACGGAGGAGGAAGAGGTGGAGGAGGAGGAGGAGGAGGAGAGGAGGAGGAAGACTGTCAGGGGTGTCGACTAGGACGCGGGCAGAGTATCACCGTCTTCGTGCCCCAACCTCTGGGAACAGGTGCACGCCACACCCACCGACGGGCGAAGATCAGGTGGAAGCCACACCCGCCGACAGCCGAAAGCAGGGCAGGAGAGGGAGCCCGCCCCTCCAGAGGTGGAAGCCACACCCACCGACAGGCGACAGGAATCCGGGTGGAAGCCGCACGCACGCCGACGGATGACAGTCGCCGCTGTTTCGCGACGCGAGCAGGCGGACGCCGCACCCACCGACGCGCGAGGGGAGAACAGGTTTGAAGCCACGCCCACCGGCAGGATACCAAGCGGAAGCCACATATCTGCCGACAGGCCGGGGCGACCACCCGGGTGTGGCCTGCGGTTCGTCCGTCGTGACGGGTGGTCAGCAGTAGCACTTCCTGAGGTGGTTGGGCTTTGGTCTGAGCAACCACCTCGTGCAGTGGGGGGAGAACAGGTGGACGCCGCACCCACCGACAGGCGAAATGAAGAACAGGTGGAAGCCCCACCCAACGACAGGCCGAGAGACCAGGTGGACGCCACACCCACTGACAGGCGAAAGGAAACCGCCGATTTCCACGGCGCGAAAGAACAGGTGGAAATCACACGACAGGCGAAATCCTGAGGAGGGCCGCCCCGCGACTGTGAAGCACGCCGATCATCCCCGAACAGGTGGAAACCGCACCCACCGACAGGCGACAGAGGTGGAAGCCGTACCCACGGACAGGCGAAAAGAAGCTGGCCACCCAGGTGGGGCCGGCGGCTCGCCCATCCTGACGGATGGTAAGCAACAGCACTTACTGAGGCGGCTGGGCTTTGTGTTGAACATCCACCTCGTGCTTGGAGAGGTGGATGCTGCCACACCTACCGACAGGCGAAAGGACACCGTCGTTTTTTACGACGCTTGCAGGTGGACGCCGCACCCACCGACAGTCCATAGGAGAACAGTGGAAGCCACATCCACCGACAGGCGAAATACCAGGTGAAAGCCACATCCTCCGACGGGCGAACGTACAGGTGAAAGCCACGCCCACCGACAACAGGTGGAAGCCACACCCACCGACAGGCGAAAGGAAGAACAGGTGGAAGTCATACCCACCGACTGGTGAAGAGAGCAGGTGGAAGCCAAACCCTCCAACGGGTGAAATGACCCCCCCTCTAGTGTGGCCGCCCAGGTGGGGCCTGCTGCTCACCCATCCTGAATCCTGACGGGTGGTCAGCAGTAGCACATCCTGAGGTGGTTGTGGGCTTTGGTCTGAGCAGCCACCTCCTGCTTGGGGGCCCTCCAGGTGGAAGCCACGCCCACCGACAGTCGAAAGGAAGCCGTGCCGACCACCAGGGGTCTCCCCACACACAGCAAAACCGAGGTGGTATGGGACTGAGCAGCCATCTCGTGCGGGGGGGCGCTGGAGCCACCCCCCCTGTGCCACTGTCGCCCCGCTGCTCACTCACCTGAGTGCTCGAATGAGATGCTCATCGGATGTGGGACCCCCGCGCCCCTAGAGTGGCGCCCTGTGCGTCCCCAAACGATTCACCCAGAGGAGTACAGGGCAGCATTACCACGGGCAGGACGATGATGATGATGATGATGAGGAGGAGGAGGAGGAGGAGGAGGAGGAGGAGGAGCAGGAGCAGAGGAGAGGAGAGAGGAGGAGGAGGAGGAGGAGGAGGAGGAGGAGGGAGGAGGAGGAGGAGGAGGAGGGAGGGCGGTATGACGAGGAGGAGGAGGAGGTGGAGGAGGAGGATGAGGCGGAGGAGGAGGAGGAGGAGGAGGAGGAGGAGGAGGAGGAGGAGGGGGAGGAGGAGGAGGAGGAGTAACGGGAGGAGTAGGAGGAGGAGGATCGGGCTAAGCACCCCCACGAATGCGACCACCACCCCAGAACAGACACCGACCCCCCCCGCTTGGAATGGCGATCACCAGTGGCTCTCGCTCAATCCTTTCCCGCCGTGAACTCCCGCGCTGATTGCGCTGGGCTGCCTCCACCACCCTGCGCCAGATCGGGCGATAAAGAGGTAGGGGACGCGGCGGCTGGCGCGGCAGGTTCGTCTGGGGCAGGGGCCTCACATACGGCCTCGCCGTTGGCAAAGTCCTCCATGAGGCGCTCGAAGTCAGCGTCCTAGTTCAGATCCAGCTTGAGCTCGAATTCGTTCCCGCCGCAGTCTCTGTAGGTCTGGTGCCTCTCCGCCGTTCCTGCCGTATACCAAGCGCTGGTAGCTTGTGGTACAGTGCCGCTTCTTGCTGCCACATCTCCGCTTGATACCTGCGTGCCATCGGCATCACCATGATCCAGCAAAACCGTTGGCGACGCTGAGCCGTCACTTGCATCAGTCGCGGTCGACCATTGCACAGCCACTGGAGCACAATCTGGCCTTGTTGTTGAAGTTGGGCAAGTTCAGAGGGCTGCTCACGACCTGCAGCTTCTTTCCTTACAGTAGTTCTCCACCGCGGGGTCCTTCTTGCTTGTGTCGTTGGTGTAGCGTCGGCGTTGGTACTGGCGCTGGTGGTGCGATGGGGACCTGCGGCTCATGTGGAGGACGGAGCTCATAACCATGCAACATCTGTGATCTCTAGCCTACCCTCCTTCAATCACCTTCAAAGGCTGTCCAGCTCGTTCAGCGTACTTGCTACCACGAATGTGTTTTTGTTGCACTTCGTGTCCCCTCTTAGGCATCTCATTGGTACAGGGTCCCCGCAGTCCTGCTCCAACAGTCGTACCGCAGGTCGCGCACTGCTCACAGCAGACCGCTCCGCACTGGACCCACTCTTCGACGTTGTATGTGTGTCGTGGATGATTCCTTTGCCAGTGATCCTTCCAGCTGGCACTTCGATGATCTCCTGGGCCGCGGGGGGAGAAGCTGAGCACTGAGTAGCCGCGAACTGTGTGAGCTGGTCGTTCGTGGTACCGTTTGTTCTCGAGCTTCACCAGGTCGTGCTGGGTATCGCCAATGTCGTGCGGTGGCTTTCTGGTAGCCGATCTCTTCGTAGAAGCACGTTCCGCGCACAAAAGAGCTCCGCCCACATCGAGTCAGCCAAGGCATTCCTGGTGCGGAGCCTGACATGCGCGCAGGTGTCGTCCCACTCGTCAGCTGGTAGCAACGGAGTCTGAGCCCTCGCTACTGGCGCCCCAGCCGCAGCGTCCGCCACGCAGTTCTCCGCCGCGAACATCAGATACATGGCTTCCACCTCGTCCGCGTCCTGGTGCGATGGGATTCATCCCACCCCGATGGTGCGGTTGGCCCCCTGCGCGTCGCTCTCTCGATTCGTGCCCACATGTTTACATTTCGTCCTCTGCCTCAGGTGAGGTACCGTCCGTTTCGCTGCGCCTGCCTCTGGAGGTGGTGGTCAGTGACGCACGCGATGTTGCCGCCGGTCGCCTCGACTGCGACGTCGCGGGCCATACGTCCTGCTCGTGTTACCGGTTGCCGTCTACTTCTTAAATCCGCCAAGATGCCAGGATGAGAACGTGGAGGAGGAGGAGGAGGAGGCGGAGGAGGAGGCGGGGGAGTTGGATGGGGAGGAGCAGCACACGCAGGATGAGGGGCGGAGCAGGAGGAGGAGGAGGAGCGGGATGTGGGGAGGAAAGGGAGGAGGGGCAGGTGGGAGGGCAACACGGAGAGAGAAGGGCAGGATGGGAAGGATCATGGTGAGGATTGTGATGAGCATGATGATGTTGCTGCTGACGATGCTGATGATGAAGATGAGGAGGAGGAGAACGAGGAGGAGGATGAGGAGGTGGAGGAGGACGCGGGGGACGAGAATGAGGAAGCAGGGGGGGGGACGGGGCGGGCGGCGTGAGGCGATGGAAGGATGAGGAAGGGGGACTCTGGAAGCAAGATGAGGTGCAGGATGGCTTTATCAACAGGAGGTTGATGCTGATGATGTTGATGATGGTGACGATCAGGATGAGGATGCTGAGGAGGAGGAGCAGTAGTATGGAGGTGTATGTTTATGGCACTGCTGAGGAAGTACATGATGCTCACGTGATGGTATGGTGGTGATGTGATGCTTTTGCTGATGATGATAGTGATGATGGTGGTAGTGCTGACTGGCGCTGCGATGACGATGACGATGATGCTGTTGATGATGATGGTGATGCTGCTGATGATGTTGATAACGATAACGATGGCGATCACGATGACGCAGCTAATGATCATGATGATGCTGATGATGATGACGTTAGTGACAATGGTGATGTTGATGTTGCTGTTGATGATGGTGATGACGATGCTGATGCTGTTGCTGATGCTGATGATTATGATGACTATGATGATGACGACGATGACGATGCCGATGATAATGATGATGCTGATGATGGTGCTGATACTGTAGCTGATGATGATGATGATGATGATGATGATGATGATGATGATGATGATGATGTTGATGCTGGTTATGATGGTCATGATGATGACGATGTTGATGCTAACGATGACGATGATCATGCTAACGATGCCGACTACGATGGTGTTGCTGATGCTGCTGATGATGATGACGATACTGATGATGCTGATGCTGCTGATGGTACTGATGGTGATGCTGATGATGGTAGTGGTGTTGGTGATTATGTTGATATTGATGCTGGTGATGGTGGTGCTGATGCTGATGGTTATGGCGATGACGATGCTGCTGCTGCTGATGACGATGACCCTGCTGATGCTTTTGATGCTGATGAGGATGGTGGTCGTGATGATGCTGATGCTGATGCTTGTTCTGATGCTGGTTCTGATGATAATGCTGCTGATGACACCGATGGTGATGGTGATCATGATCAGGAGGAGGAGGAGGGCGAGAGGGAACATCACTACTTTGAAGCATCCTTGCTCAACTCGAGACATATCCTCCTCTTCTGTGTGATTTGGAGGGGCTTGCATGGGCTCGCAAGGCCTCGCACTTGCTCGGACCCGAAGACTACCGCAACACTCACATATCCACATTCGCCTGCTACCATGAGAAGCCATATCTAGAGAACAATCCAGAACACCTCTCCCTACAGTCAAGACTGATAGTACGGACTCACGGCTGTTCTTAGGGTATCTTTGCGTCTTTGCCGCAGCCCTTCGGGGCGTTGGCAACTCGCCGTGCGTCCTTACCGCCCGCCCTTCGTATCTAGTTCGACTGTATAGGGACTCTAAACATTGCCCGAGGCTTAAAGGATGGGTCACGAAACACCTGACATCACACAGAGCTGAGCACAGTCGGTGTCTAGCCAGGCGCTGTGGGCTGCCTTAGAGGCCGAGCTCCTGCATGCCGCGCAGCTCTGGCCGTCCCTGGAGACGGTGTGCTCCGATCCGAGAGCGGCGACATTGGCGGCGGCGTTAGCGGGAGGAGGAGGAGGAGGAGGTGGTGGAGGAGGAGGGACAGCAGATGGGGGGGAGGATAAGGAGGAGGAGGAGGAGAAGGAGGAGGAGGAGGAGGAGGACGAGGACGAGGAGGAGGAGGAAGAGGTTGCGGGAGGAGGGGGGGAGGAGGTGGAAGTGGAGGTGGAGGTGGAGGCGGAGGCGGAGGCGGAGGCGGTGGAAGAGGAGGAAGAGGAGGAAGAGGAGGAGGAGTAGGAGGAGGATGGCCTGCAACATCCAAAGGGTGGCGCGCAGGACGTGGCAAGGGGGGACCCCCCACAGGGGGGACCCCCCCACCACCCCACCAGGTGTGAACACGGAGTGAGGAGGGATCAAGATACAAGAGGCGCAGGAGGGAGGATGATCAAGAGAAGGGGAAGGCGGAGGAGGAGGAGTTGGAGGAGGAGGGTGGAGCAGGAGGAGGAGGAGGAGGATGGGGGAAGGAAGGAGGGTGCAGGTGGAGGATCAGGGAGGGAGGAGGTGGTGGAGGAGGAGGAACAGGCCGAGGAGGAAATGAGGGGTCTCATCAGGGCCCAGATATCAGTTGAGAGCAGCATCGAGACGGCAAGTTGTTTCAGTTTCGGGCACTGGATTCTCAGATGGGATCTCAGAGAAATCAGAAACAAGACCTGGGACCTGAAGCGGCAGTCAAGGAAGAGGGAATCGAGGAGGGGGCTGGGGTGGTGGGGGTAAGACGGGCAAGGGGGCGCGAATGAGGAGATGCCCGGTGGGGAAGAGTCGCAGAAGGAGGGAAGGGAAGGAGCGGTGGGCGAACGCGGCGAAAACAGGATCGCAAGCGGGTCCAATTTTCGGACCCTGGTCTCAGAGATATCAGAGACAAGACCTGGTACCAAATGCCGGTTCCGAGGCGACAGTGGAGAGGGCCGGGGCCCCACGCCAAGAGCACGACATCGGATATTTGGGCGCCCCTTCTTGGCGGCGCGCGCAGGGGGTCGGTCGATTGGGGCGGCCCTCTGGGAAGGCATGGGGGGGTTCTTAGAACCCTTCCTTTCAGGGAACAATTCCGGAAGCCTCTACTCCCCATCCTGAGACCCGCACTTGCCTTTTCGAAGGCCGCCTCCTCTCGCCCCCCCCCCTCCCCCTTGGCCCGCCCTCACCCCAAATCCAGCCCAAACGGGTCCCCAGACCTTCCAGAGTCCATCCTGCTGGTGTTTTCGAGCTGCGCCCCGTCGTGGCCACGAAGGCTTCCCATGACGCTCAGAACGGACGAGAGATGTCAGGATCCTGCAGGTGGATATTTCCTGGGCGCGGCGCCAACCTTGCCACATCCTTATCCCCAGGTCCGTCTCCAGGCCCCTCTTCCCCACCCCTATTACCATGCCCGCGCCGCCCATCCCCCTCCCCCGTCCACATTCGCGTCCCCTAGAGCCATATAGAAACCTCCAGGGCCCTCCTGGACACCAGAGAACCACGGAGACATTCGACATAATGCTGAAGCCTTTCTTCTTTTTGCTCCTCCGTTTCTCTCCCTCAGCCCCTTGTCCTCCGTCCTCCTCCGCCGTCGTCATCCTCCTGCTCCTCCTCCCTGCTTCTCCCTCCCTGCCACTCCTCCAGTATCCATCCTCCTCCTTATCCTCCCCCTCATCTGCTTTACCTCCTCCTCCTCCTCCTTCTCCTCCTCCTCCCCCTCTCCCTCCTCCCTCCCTCCCTCTCTCCCTTCCAACCTCCCTCCCTCCCTCCCTCCCTCCTTGCTCCTACTCCCCCTCCAGCTTCTCGTCCTCCATCCTTCTCCTCCCCCTCTTGCGTCCTCCTTCCTCCCCCCTCCGACGCCTCCGTCACCCGTCACCATGCCCCATTACCCAGGTCCCAGCTCCTCCCGGCTCCCCTCGGCCCTTCTCGTTCGCCTCCTCTTTCCAGTTCGTTTTCCTGCTCCTTCCTTCCATGTCGCCTCCTCTCAACTCCTTCTGTCTCCCATCCACGAGGTTAAGCGACCTGGATGGCCTTGAGTCAGCGCGGCAGCTTAGGCGCCGTCGGCGCGGCGGGAATTGCAGCCGGACTGGAGGAGGAGGAGGAGGAGGAGGAGGAGGAGAAGTTCGAGGAGGGGAAGGATAAGGACGATGACGGTTATGATGATGAAGATGATGATAGATGTTTGATGATAGATGGTTGAAGATTGTTGGAGGTGATGATGATGGTGATGTTGCCGCTGATGATAATGCCGACGATGATGATGTTGCTGATTATGATGATCGTTATGACGATGACGATGTCGATGCTATGTTTTACAATCATACTTTAATGCTAACAACAATACTATTGTGGAACAGCTAAACTGATGATGACGATGCTGCTGATGCTGATACTGATGATGATGATGACGATGATGCCGCCGCCGATGCTGATGATGCTGTTGTTGATGTTGTTGATGATGATGCTGCTGACGGCGATGATGATGATGATGGTGATGAACATGATGCTGATGATGTTGTTGATGAGGATGATGCTGGTGCTAGTGCTGATGCTGATGATGATGCTGATGGTTGTGATGATGCTGCTGATGATGAGACTGTTGCCGGTGATGCTGATCATGATGAGGATCATGATGCTGATGAGGGTGGTGATCTTGATGATGGTGATGATGATGATGATGAGGATGATGTTCATGAGGATGACTGTGGTGATGACGATGTGTCTGATGCTGACGCGGATGCGGCTGCTGATGACGATGCGGGTACTGCCGTTGCTGCTGCTGTCGACGGTGACGATGCTGCTGTGGATTAAGCTGATGCTGATGATGCTGATGATGATCGTGATTCTGCTGCTGCTGCGGCCGATGGCGATGCTGATGATGATGGTAACGATGACGATGCTGATGATGATAATAATGATGATGCTGCCGATGCTGATGATGATGATTATGATGACGATGCGGATGATGTTGCTGCTGATGAAGCTGATGATGTTGATGATGATGCTGATGCTGATGCTGATGATGATGCTGATGCAGGTGATGATGATGATGATGATGTTGATGCTGATGGTGATGATGATGCTTCTGATGATGATTATGCTGCTGATGATGATGCTGATGCTGCTGGTGGTGATGATGCTGCTTATGCTGCTGGTGATGATGCTGCTGCTGCTGATGTTGATGATGCTGATGCTGAAGATGGTACTGCTGCTGGTGACGATGCTGTTGCTGCTGCTGGTGAGGATGATGCTCATGATGACGACGACGACGATGACGATGACGATGACGATGATGATGATGATGATGATGATGATGATGATGATGATGATGATGCGGATGATGCTGCTGATGATGCCGTTGGTGATGACGATGATGCTGCTGATGATGATGCTGGTGATGATGTTGATGATGCTGATGATGATGATGCTGTTGATGCTGATGCTGATGATGACGATGAAGATGATGCTGATGATGCTGATAATGCTGATGGTAATGATGATGACGATGAGCTTGATGGTGATGATACTGATGGTGAAGATGATGATGCTTATGACGGTGGTGATGATGATGCTGCTGATGATGATGAGGATCTGGACGAGGAGGACGCTGTTGATTACGACACGGGGACGAAGGTGACGGAGATGGTAATGGTGATGGCGATGGCGATTGTGACGGTGATGATAAGGTCGTTGAGGAGAGTGAGGATGATGATGAGAAGCCGGAGGCGGAGGCGGTGGCCGAGGAGGAAGAGGGGCGGGAGGAGGATGAGAAGGAGGAGGAGGAGGAGGAGGAGGAGGGAGGGAGGAGGAGGAAGGAGGAGGAGGAGGAGAGGAGGAGGAGGAGCAGGAGGAGGAGGCGGAGGAGGAGGCGGAGGAGGACGAGGAGGAGGAGGAGGAGGAGTGGAGGAGTGGGAGAAGTATTTACGAGGGGGAGTTGGAGGAAGATGAGGAGGAGCAGGAGGAGGAGCTGCGATTGGAAGAATTCTTGCAGAGCGAGGAGCGGGGACGGAGGGAAGGAGGAATGCTTGAAGAGGAGGGGGCGGAGGGTGAGATGCGATGCGATATGAGGGGGTGGGGTGGGGAACTGGAGGGGAACGAGTACGAAGGAACAAACGGCACCCGTCGCAAAGCGGTTCGTTTTGATCGACACAACACCTTTCCACTTATGAGCTCCACGGCGTCCGTGAGCAGGAGGAAATTCACCGCGAGAACGACAACGCCGACGAAGGCAAATAGTCGAGTTGCTGTCACCCTGTGTTCGAGTAGAACGGCGGATCCATCAGCGACCACAATGTGGATTGCCGCCTTCTTGGAGTGTTTGAATAACAACCTCGGGTTTTTCAGCGAGGACAGTTCGCAATGCCGACAGGCACACGCAGCCAAACCAGACCAGTGACAGTGAAGTTTGGGCATACATTGATCGTGTTTGAGTGTGAGCGTGTGTTTCCGCGAACAGCTGGTTGTTTGTAGATGTCGCCTAGGACATTGCAAACTCCAGTGAAAGGGTTTTAAGCGAGGATTCAACACAAGAGGGTCGGGATAACATACCAGTTTACCCGATGCACGTGATCGATGTGTGCTCCCTTGTGGGTCAAGTCGGTGACCTAAAACATGTGGAATTGAACCACGCTGACGGCCCACACAGTCCTGGAAGCCTTGCAAGCGCCACTCGAGAGCGTGGCCGAGGGAGTCTACGAGACAAACGACAACGAAGTGCTCGACCCACCTGTGCTTCAGGGAGAGGAGGATGTGGAGGGTGGAGCAGAGGATGGCGGAGGAGAATGAGCATGCGGAGGAGAAGTGGGAGAAACTCTGATGATGAGAGGAGGGTGTCGGAAGAAAAGGATAAGAATGAGGACGAGGAGGGAGAAGGAGGAACCTGAGGAGGGCATCTGAGCGATTCTTCGTTTTGGATCTGGAGTGATTCCTCTCGCTTCGCGGGGTGCACGTCTGGAGCACGTACAGTCCGCACGTTGTGGGGCCTGGTGGAAGCCTCTTTGGGGCCTCTTGGAGGCCTCTTGTGGGTTTCTTGGGGCATCTTGGCTTCTTGGGGGCGTCTTGGGCCGTCTTGGGGCGCTCTTGCGCCGGTTGGCTCCTTCGGAGGCCATCGTGTGGGCCTCTCGTGGCCGCCTTAGGGCTCTCTTGGGGTCCCCTCGGGCCGTCTTGGGGGCCCCTTGGACCGTCCCGGGGGCCTCGTTGTGCCGTCTTGGGGCCCTCTTGGGCCGTCTTGGGATCCTCTCGGGGGCTTCTGGGGCTGTCATGGGACCATTTTGGAGGCTGCTTGGGCCGTCGTGGACCTCCCAGGATAGAAACACACGAGAACGCTAGAATCTTTCAAATGCCTAAGGAAGATCAATGCTTTTGGCCTCTGTAGGCGCTCTTGGGGGTCCTCTTGGGGCCCTCTTGGGCCTTCTTGGGTGCTTTTTGGGCCCTCTTGGGGCCATCTTGAACCGTCTTGAGGTCGTCATGGCCCGTCTTGAGGCCATCTTGAGCCGTCTTAAAGCGCTCTTAGACCTCCAAGAGGACTCTGGCATAAGGGGGTTCAGGTGATACACGCATATATACATATATATATAGCGAGCATAGCGAACGTGCCGCGGGCGTCTGGCTCAAATTGTCGCCCGATTTGCCTGGGCCGCTAGAGGATCTTGTGCCACCTTTGCATCGGAAAAAGGACTTGATCACGCCCCTGGAAGATGCACCATCTTACACCATATCTCAAACCTCTTACGATGGTCCTCGTCCTGCCTTTTACTTGGTAGCGGAGCTCGCCTCACTAAGTTGTGGCCAGCTCTGTCAATCGCAATACTTATCCACGGCACGGCTTGGTATGCCGCCGCCACCACTGTGACGTCAGAGCGTGACTACTGGCAAGAAGGCGGAACCGCCCTTAGAGGACACGTTATATCCACTATGGCGGACATCCGTCTGACCATTCCGGAGAGCGTATACGCCTCAGTTTTACGCCAGTTTACTCCTATTTACGATGAGCTGGAAACACATTAAGGTACGAACTTCCACTACGCGGAAGCGCGAATCCCACTTTCTTGAACCAACATGGGGACACACCTCCACCGCCACTTCTCCGCCTAACGGTTGTCAGCACGCCGAAGACCACCAACAACGACGTCCGAGACGTCTCGTAAATATTCCGATTTGAACTGTGTAGTTTTCAACATTATTTGGTTGGCCATCGGGTGTGCTATAGGATACATGCTACGTGGCGGCCACAGCGATGGAGGCGACAATACTACAAGGGGCCCATACAGGGAACCCTCAGGGAACGTATCGTTCCTCGAGTTTACCCGTGAAGTACATGCGTGGCTGAACGTTACGAGCGTCCGCGCGACCCCACAACAGCAAGCTGCATGCCTGCAGCATGGTCTGGGTGGGGTAGCACGCACCATTGCGATGCGAATCCTTCCCCAGATCATTCACTACGGCGTGGCGATACAAGGCGTCCATACGGACCCCGCTACGTGCATCATATTTCTCTTGAGCGCCAAATCCGGTAACCCTGAAGATGAGCGACAGCTCACTTCGGGAACAGCGCTCATAGACTTCAGGCCCGAACTTGGCGAGAGAACGAATTCTATTATCGCCATGTTCGAGACGTGCCAGCGACATGCTTCATGGCACTTTGTATGTCACTACCTCTCGGTTGTGCACTGGTGATTCAGTCGCTTCGAAGTCCATCAGCGGCAGCGAGCGAGCGCCGCGCCATCATACCCCCCTCCTGCAGCAGGGAGCATAGTATTGCCCAGTTGACCCCTATCATTTGTTGCCTCCTCTTCGTTACGTACGGTCTTCTACTCTGACTTTCCGACCTAGCCTGCGTAGAGGGGCCACATCCGGGGGGAATCCACCATCCCATTGACAAGGCACGAAACCCAGGCTTTTCCTCTCAACGTGGACTTTCTGGCACCGACGTTGCAAACTCAGTGGCGGGAGTGGCCTGAAAGTGGTGCCCCCGCCCCAGCGCGATGCATATTCTTCCGTCGGCGACTCCTGGGGCCCCGCGCGAGCGGGCAGCGTGTCTCCGTCGCCCACGCTCCGTGCACGTGTCTGTTGTGCGTGGCGTCCCCGCGCGGGCCCGGCCCGTGCGTCGGCCGCCGAATCGCACGAAAGCGAGGGCCCCCGCAAGGCCGAGCGAAGTGCTGTCTCGCCCGAGCGCCGCGCATCCCGTGCTCAAAGATGGGGGTGCTGTTTCGGCGAGGCGCGCGGTTCGTCAGTTCCGCGCTCTCTGTCAATAGCATCCCCCCGAGGAGGGGATGGATTGGGTTCCCGCCGCAGCGCCGCGAACGGATTTCCCGAACTTCCGCTCCCGCCTCTGCGCGGCCCGCGTAACTTTAGCTGTCCCTTCTCCGAGACGTCGGAAATGGGGCCGCGCGCCAGCGTCTTCCGCTCGCCAGGCCGGAACGCTTCCGAATCCCAATATCAAGTTGTGCCACCTTTGATGTTTATGCTATATGATGGGTGGGGGGCGGGACTGGGCGGGGCCCGCCGCCTTAGCTATTTTTGTCCTGATCTCGCTCCTCCTCCTTTTTGTTTTTCCGCAGGCATTCCCCTGTACCCCTCCTCGTCATCATTTTCCCCCTCGTCGTTCTTCTTGTGTTCCCTTTTTTCCTCCCCCTCCTCCCCCTTCTCCTCCTCATCGTCCTTGTATTCGGAAGGCAGGAGGGGGAGGTGGTGCAGGAGGAACTGTGGTGGAAGGACCAGGAGAAGATCGGCAAGGGCCTCGGCAGTGAGTCGTTGAGTCCCTCATCTCCCATTCCTCCTCTGATTCTCATTTCCCTCTCATTATCTCTCTCGCTTCGTTGTTCTCCCCCATATTCTTCTTGCATCACCCTCGTCATTTCTTTCTGGCGTGTCCTACTGTTCCTCATCCTCCTTCGCGTCCCTTTTGCGCTACATCCTGCGTATTCTCTTTGTGATCCTCCTCCCCGTTCTCATTATCTAGCTGCCTGCGGCGAGCCCCGCCACCGTGCCCACCAAGCCGTCTCGGTGGCAGCTGCTTGTGCGAGGGAGACGGTAGGCCCTAACGTGTGACACCCCGAGTTGCGATTGACGCACTCATCGCGGCGACGGTTGGAGCAAGTCCAGTCAGCTGTCACATGCGACACATCGCTGGACTTCGGGCTTGCTTGGCCTGTCCCAGGGCTCTCTGCAGCGATCGCAGGGGCAACGCCGGCAGTTGTCATGGAGTGTAATTGGACGATGACGCGAGGGAAAAACCTGAAGACGATGCTCACGATGACGACGGCGACGACGACGGTGACGACGACGGGGATGGTGATGATGATGATGTTGTTGATGATGATTTTGATGCTAATGGTACTGATGATGATGAGGACGACGATGCTGTTGGTAATGATGATGCTGATGAGGATGAATCTGAATATTAATGTTGTGAATTTCATGGTGATGAGGATGATGATGCTGCTGATGATGAATCAATCGAATACGCTGACGGTGACGTTGATGGTGATGCTGCTGTTACTGGTGGTGGTCCATATGAAGAGGACAAGGAGAAGGAGGAGGAGGGCGATGACGACGACGATGATGATGTTGATGACGAGGATGGTAGTGGTGGTGTTGATGGTGGTGGTGATGCTGTTGACGACGACGACGCCGACAACGACGACGACGACGACGACGATGATGATGATGATGATGATGATGATGATGATGATGATGATGAAGATGCTGATGATGATGATGATGATGATGATGATGATCTTGATGATGATGCGGATGGCAATGGTGGTAGGGATGATGATGCTGATGATGCTGATGATGATGACGATTATGATGATGCTCATGTTGATGCTGATGCTGCTGCTGATGATGACGATGATGCTGATGCTGATGATGATGATTGGGATTATGATGATGATAATGATAATGGTAATGATGATGATGGTGGTGGTGATGACGACGATGATGATGATGATGATGATGATGATGATGATGATGCTGGTGATGATGATGATGATGATGATGATGATGATGATGATGATGATGATGATGATGATGATGATGATGATGATGATGATGATGATGATGAGAAGGACGAGACAGAGTGGGAGGAGGCGGAGGAGAATCGTCACATGTGACACCTTTCGTCTTCACTTCTCGACGAGCTCGCGTGCTGCTGACTTGGGCAGTCTTGGGGCTGTCCTGGGCTCCGGTGGAGCAGTCTTGCGGGTCCCTTGTGGCCCTCCTGGGCCAGCTTGGGGCCTTCAGTGGCTTGGGGCTCTTTTGGGTCTCCCGTGGCCTTCTGGGGGGTCTCTCGGGGCTGTCGTGAGGCCGTCCTGCGCCTGCAGCGGTCACCTTAGGCCGTCATGAGTCCCTCTGGAGGCCTTCTGGGGCCACCTTGAGGTTCTCGTGGGTTCGTCCTGGGCCGACAAGGGCCCTCTCGGGCCGTCTTGAGGCCGTCTCGGAGGCCTCTTCGGCTCTCTTGAGGCCGTCTTGGGTCGTCGTAATGCAATGTTGGAGGCCTCTGGGGCCATCTTGAACCAGCGGAAAACCGAAAAGGCGAGAATGCGAACAGCTTTGAAACACCCAAGGACAATCACTGATTTTGGCATCTCCAGGCCTTGCTACAATAGGAGTTCTCTTGGAGCCGTCTCGAAAGCCTCTTGGGCAGTCCTGCAGCTGTCTTGGGGCCAGCTTGGGTGATATTGGAGACACCTTGGGCCATCTTGGCGGCCTTGGTGGCCCGCCTGTGTCATCTTGAAAGCCATCTTGGTCGTCTTCGACTTCCTGGAGAGCGCCAAAGACGTGTTTGGGCGCCGACAGCCCCTGGGGGAGGGGGGCCATGCGCGCGGGCCAGCTCCACGAGAGGGGGGAGTGGCCAGTAAAAGATTACAGAAACCCCACCAGACGGTCACCATCCCTTCCCCTCCACCCTTTCCTGTTCTCTTTCTTACTTGTGTTCCTCTCGTCCTCTCCTGCTCGTGCTCCTGCGTCTCCTGCTCGTGCTCCTCCGCAGTTTCCTCTGCCTCCTGATCATCAATCCTCTGTTGCATCGTTGGCAGTTGCCGTTGATGTAAACGTCCTCGTCATCTTGCACCTGATCCCGCTCGTCTACCTGAGAGCGCACGACAGGTCATACCTAACCGAGTTTGGCTGATGTTCGACGTGGTACCTGAGGCAGATGGATGACCCATGGAATGCAGGATAGCCAAGTGTAGGTGTACCTCTTTCGCCGACAACATGGGAGGCTCCGCGGCTCCCAGTGCGCCCTGCTCCATCTACCTGGGGCGCGAGCTAGCACGCAACATATCTTCTGGACCCCGGAGGTCTACAGGTGCCCGAGAAGGTTCAAGAACGTTCAAACAAAGGTATTCGATTCTTTTTATCCGCCTCCAATCAAACTTGGGGGGTCGGCCGCCTATCGAAATCGGCGGCTGACTCCCATTCGAGTTAGGTTAGAGGGGGTTGAGTCATATTAGATGGGGTCGGAGGATATGCACTGGCGATTCGGCGCCAGGTTCTCTATCCCGACATCGCAGTTGCACCGCCGATGCATCTCCGAAGCGGCGCAATCCTTCGACCTCATGTGCTCTCCCTTTTGAGTGGCCTCCATCAGTGCAAGCAGTGACCAGGGGGAAAGGCTCGATGCTTCTCCTCTGGGCATTGGCTGTTCGCGCCAGGCATTTGTCCTTGCAGAACATCGACGCCTCTGATTTCTGCCCGGTCTGCCCCCCCTGGCAGCCGCCCTCCTTTCCCTCCTCCC